GTCTCATAAAACAGTAAGTTTTACCTTTTATATCTTAAGTTTTTAGTCATGGTGTAGCATTTCAGTGACACAGGCTTGGGGTTTAGTGATTGGGTGGTTTGTGGAGAGCTGATTTACAGGGAGGCTGGCAATGTTCCCTCTTTATCTCTTGGTATCCCTGGATGCCTGGTTTAACTTTTTACCCACAGCAGTATTTATGGTGTGCTATTAGACCCCACCCTCACCCTGTGACCTATCAGGTCACTTTCTTCACCAGTGCCTTGGAAATGGCACTCCTAGCTTGAGAACTGGTCTTGACTAGTTCAGGAACCACTGAGTGTTTGGAGGAGTAATTTTCCCTCAAGATTCTTTACATATATCTGTGGTTCAAACCGGGGGCTCAGTCTGTTCCTGGTACACAGAGACAAGGCCTTGAGAGTTTGCATAGTGGCCTGTCTTTCCAACTTTAGTGTTTTTTGGGGGATTGTTGGTTTCTTCCAACACTGTACCTTTTTTCTTTAAACAAGATCTTACAGAAAGGGCTGTAGAGTTGACTCCGAGGTTAAGCCCTTGCTATTCTTGCAGAGGACTTGAGTTCAATTCCAAACTCTTACATTAGGCAGCTCATAACTACATATATATCTCTACCTTCAGGGGATCTGATGTCCTCTTTGGCCTCCTTAGGCCCGGCACTCATCACACACACACACACACACACACACACACACACACACACACACACACACTTCATAGTAGTATGGACACCCAAATCAAGAAATATTATAGGTTAGTTTTTCAGGTGGGATGTTTGAGATAACCCACCTTATGTAATTAATTATGTAATAACTAAGGCATCCTTTAGCAGAAAGATGAAGTAAACAAGTCAAGAGATATGCACTTTGCTTTCAGCTGGTTTCTGACTCCCCAGTCTCTGGTAACAAGACTCTTTTATCTGCTGATGGGTAGAAAAATATCTGTTGTCTGGGGCCAGCGAAGGTGACTAAACGGATAACAAAGGAGATTTAAATGTAAGGGAGGTCAGCCAAGGACAGGTACACAGGCAGCTGCTCCTGTCTGCTCTAACTGAAGAGCGTGGCTCAAGGAGAAGCCAGGTGAAGGTGCTTAAGCCACTTACAAAGGCTTGTATCTGTTCATGAAAGATGGAGTTCAGCTGCTTGGTCTAGCATCGATTGGTTGCTAGGGAGTTAATCGACAAGTTGAAAACTTTCACATCCACCTTGCTGATTCATTGGCAACTGCTTTTGAAAGGGAAATTAGATTGGAGGGGGATCAGATGTAGTGCTCATTTGCTTGCTACTTTCCCAGAATTATGCTTTGAGGCAAACTCCAATTCTGATAAGACACATAAAAGTGAGACTCCTTGGCTCAAACCCCAAAGTGGGAACTGCTCAGTTCTTTCTTGGACACTGTGTGGGATCCTCCACACCTGCTGAACTGCTGAGGCTGCTGTGGCTAGAGACGATGGACACAGGTGGCTGGAGATGGTTACTGAGGGTTGGGGGGGGGGTTTCCTGCAAGGTTACTTGTGCAGTTTTCTGGTTCAAACCGGTGTCTTGGTCAGTGACCGCCTGTGCTGATGGAAAGACGGTATGATTCTAGGACAGACAGCAGCCTTGCTCAGTTCCCCTCCAGTGCATACGAGGACAGGGAAAAGATTAGATGCTTTAGAAGAAGCGAGCCAATTCATGTATAACAGATAAAATGCATTTTTAGGACTGATTCAAAATGATAGGAAAAAGGAGAGCAGGGTGGGGAAGATTATAACATGCTGTTGTAAAGATTATTGAAATCCTTTGTTAATTATAAATTTTGATTTTAAAATGACAACAGCAGTCTCACTGAATGGCTCTCAGACTTCATGGATTAAACATCTGAATCTTTTACATAATAGAAGAAATTAACGTGTCCTCAGAGCCTACATCAACCTAAAATGTTCAGGGTTTGGATTCTGACTCCTAATGGGTTTGGGAGCCTCTTGAAATCCCTCCCTTCCCATTCTTCAGCCAGGAATGGGGGTCATTTGCCTTGGTAAGGGTGAAATGGTCTGTAGGCTAGGCGGTTCCTCAGATTGCTAGGTACTCTTACCTAAACCTACAGGCTAGCCGTTAATGGGCAGTGTAATTACATTAGCAGGATGCGGTGAGGTCAGTCAGAAATGATATGGAACTTCAAAGGGGAAACTTCTAAGTGTAAATTGTGGGTGTCCATTGCTTTATTCTTTATTTCATCTCTACAGTCTCAGTGATGCCAAAACAGTGAGTCTTTCCATATTCAAATCCATTGACAAAGGAATTTTGGCTCTTTCTCCCCCATTTAACTAAACATACCGGAGAGGAGGAGATCTATAGATTTCCCTGGACCCATTCATGTGACGACTTTGCAACCACATTAGAAAGACTGGCAAGCATCTAGAGAAATCTCTAGTTACAGCTCTAATGTACAGACCCTTATGTTATCTCCCCAAACCCAGTATGGGCTCTGAGCCAAGCTGGTCCATCCTGAATGCTCATTATCTGAATGGACTGATGGTGGTTTGGGAAGATCTTGTGGGTACTTGCTGTTAATGCCGACAGGAGTTTCTGACAAAGTCTGTTACTGCCATCCAGCGGCCACAGCTAGGATTTTGGGAGTAGGAGTTGAGGAATTGCTTTGAAAAATGGACCTTGGATGACAGCAAGATGAAAGGAACTTGGCTTGTATGTTGTTATGAAAAACTTTGTGAACTCCCAAGAGGACAATGGAGTAGGGAGTGGCACTGCTCATTGAGGCATTTCTCTGGGTTTGGAAGAAACCTGGACCCATTTTCACTTCACTGTGGGGTTGTTTTTCAAGGTCCATAAAGTGAAGAGTCATGGAACCATCACTCATGGTGATTTGAGAAAGAAAAAGATGAATACAACTGTCTCCATCAGAGGCTGGACTGTAGCTTCAAACAGTCCTGTGTGTCACAGAAACAGCAGAGACTAAATACTGCTCTAGGCCCTCGTAAGGCGATCTGATCTTACAACCAATGGGTCTTTCTAGGTTTAGACTTTCCTTCTGGATTTGGATTTGCTTATCTGATGCCTGAAGTTAACTTCTTTGAACATCATAGAAGCCTAGAACAGAAAATTATTTCAACTTAAGACTCCTGTTTATACATTTATATACGATTCAATCAAAGAATATTTTAACATGGGTTCAAAAGCACCGGATTCTGTGGAGTTTAAATCTACAATGACCACACTTATTAAACTAAATTCAATCTGGAGGCGGATAATGGCTCTATTGATTTCATTCTTGTCCTCAAAAATCCACCATTCTGTGTCCAAGATAAGAGCTCAAAGTTTAGTCAATGACTACTTTATGTCAAGAGCCCATTTAGTGTACAAACCAACAACGCCAAAACACACAGCAAGATTTCTGAATGACACTAGCTTGATCTTCTCAGGATAAGTAAAACCTTCTTTCATTAAAATACAGAAGAACATTCTAAAGAAATAATTATTGGCTTGGATTGGATCATTAAACTGGACTTTATTTATGGATAAAGGGAAAGATAGATAAAATACCCAAATAGATGATAAGTATTGAAAAAGTGGACAAGTATCCCCTACCGACAGCAGGTCAGTGCACTAGAGAACTCAGATGGGAAAGGGTATGCTACTAAACAGATAGGAAAATGCAGTGTGCATCTTCAGATAGAAACAGTAGAAGCTCCAGAACATGACCTGGGATCCTGGTAGCAGAAGCACAGAGAAAGATTATTGAATGCTTATAATTTCCTTCAATGAATGGAAATTCCCAAATAAATAAAAGGCACAACTTACTTTTGTACTTCTTAACTGTTGAGGACTGGCATAGATAAAACATAGATGTGTACCTGACAGGGAAGCTATTTAAATGAAGAAGTCTTTTAAGCTCAATTTGCTTTCACACTAGAAAAAAATGGGTATTTCATTAAAATAAGACTCATCAATGACCTCTTCCAATAAAGCCTGGTGGTGCAATGCACAATGGATAGCTAGTTTCACAAGGGTCTTGGACAATCAACAGAGACCCTTGAGGTATGCATGTAGGGTCACTGTGCCTAGAAAGACCAAGGGATACTATTGTAATTCTGGCTTCTTTTGTAATAGTAACAGATCTTGTAGTTGAACTGCCTTTTTAAAAAAAACACAAAAAATTATTTTAATAAAGCTTAAGATTCACAGAAGTTTCCCGAAATACAAAATGGTCACAAACTTTTTTTTCTCCTCCTCCTCTACTTCTTCTTCTCCTCCTCCTCTTTCTTTCCCTTCTCCTCTTCCTCTTTTCTTTTTTTCTCCTTTTCCCTTCCTCTTCATCCTCCTCCTCTTCTTTTCATTTTTGGGGAGAGGGCCAGAGAATCTACACTTGACAGCAAAGTCACAATGTTATTAGTGAGAGCTATGATGTTTATTTAATGTTCCCAATTCAGTTCAAACAGTCAAGCTTGTCCATCTACAGCATCTAAAGTTAGAATTGGCTGGAGAGCATATTGTAAGAAACAGGTTCGTCACATTTAACCACTGCAATTAGAGCCCAAAAGATGGGAAGATGGAGGAGGGGGAAGAAGATTATTAAATTAAAATAAAACTATGTTTCCCCTAAATGATGATGATGATGATGATGATAATGATAATAATAATAATAAACATCCATACCCCAGGCATCTAATCCTTACAGCTACCTTCATTCATATGCTTTCTACTTAATCATGTCAGGGAAATGAATCCAAGCAGAGAGTTCTTCCTTTTAAACATGTCACGGCCACCTGGACAACACTTCTAGCCTCTGCTCATGCTTTCCAACAGTGAATCAGGACAAGACATAGATTTGCCAATGTGCATGTAATCGCCAAAGATGAAGACTGTGTTCATGAGATACAAACAAACAAAGAGAGGGAGAAGCCTTGGCCAAACAGGAGAAGTGATGTACAACTTGATGATCTGACCGATAAATATTCCTGGCACGTAGCCTAGCCCACGCTCTCACTGTCTCTATGGCTTGGGCTCCATTGGTCTTCCTTCCTCAATTACATTATTAACTAACAGATCATCATGATTAGATGCACTTAACAAAGCCTGGGTTGAAAGCAGAATGGTGTGGATCTGCACTTCTGGGGACCACATATTTTTCAAAATATCTAAACTTATTCTTTCCATCTTGTCTACATTAGGATGGCACATTTTGGTCATGAAATGTACTTTAGGTGCGTATTTAGGTGGGTATTCTTCTGGAAGGAATAGTTCAAATTTAAAAGTCTCTCCTTCAAAGGGGGAATTCTGGGGGCCAAGAATGACTGTAGGAAAATAATGGGTGTTGTTCTCATCTGGTTCTGCTTTAATGCCAGGAACTGATTCTGTCAGCAAACACTGGGTTTCCTTGATGATCCTGTGGGGCAGCCTGGCCATTTTGTCAGATTATGAGTTCAGCCTCAGTTCTTATCTCTGGCTCTACTCACCTCACGCACGAGTCATGGAATTGCTTTTTGATGTAGGGCAGACACAATTAATGAGGTTACTTCAAGGGTATTTTTTTTAAAAAAAACTAAACTCATGATAATATTGATAATCATCAAATGTAAGACATCAAATTAGAAAGTCTATAAAGAGTTTTTCAACTGAACATGATAGGGCAGAGGAGTTTCTACATTCAGTTAATTGTGACTTGATTGTTCTACTGAATCAATCCATAGATGTCCTTTCTGAAGTGCCCATTGCAGTGGAAGAAGAAGGTAACCTGCTTGCTAAGGTCAAGGAAGGTTACAGACAAATTTCCACTGGGATCTCTTCTGAATTGTGAACAAACTGAATGTTTCTCCAAAGGTATATACACATCTCTTTAGTGATGCAGATGACCCAAGTAGTTGTGATTTATTTTGTTCTGTAGATACGTGTAAGAGAAGGCATACATCTGAGCAACTTGGACCTGCTTTGACCAAGAACTAGAGAGCAAGCGTGGAATCGAATTTGTCAAAGCTAGAATGTTAACCTTTGTGGGTACATGGAGGTTTGGGTGTTTGTGACTCTTGACTAAGACAGCATCAACATTATTTATGGTGTGCTGTTTAAGTCTGAACTACCCCGAACAAATCTCAAGTTTCTCTTCTTTATTGGCGATTAAGCACCAGGTTTGATAAGCCTGCTCTGACTCAAAAAGACAGTGGAACTTTTTAAGGGTACCATTTAAAGTCACAATCCCATATATATTTATGGTTCAGACCATACTCAAAGTTCTGTGTGCAGGCAGAGCCCAAGGGAGTTTCAACTGTCAATATACTTCAGATTTCTGGAAGTTTGTTTTTATCTTTTCTTGCTATGATGCTTTTGTCTTGAAGTAAAAGCCTCCCTTGAGTATAGTTATGCAGAGTTTGTAAGTGCTAAATATCCAAATTAGACATGTATGGGTAAAAGAAGTTGTGTTGGAAGAAGGTAGAGATGACCACAGAAGCTCTTGCAAAGGCACATTTGAGTGTTATTTCCTGAGCCAACAATGCACAACACTAGATGGGCTTGAGGCAGAACTGCTATAAGAACTAGGACAAGCAAAGCACTACCCTAGGGAAATTAAAACTAGCACTTTTTTTCTATACTTCTAATAGGAATATTAATTAGTAAAGTCACCATGAAATTCAGTATGAATATTAATTAACAAACCACAAATCAGACTTACCTATGAAACTCCCTAGTGTGTACCTGAAGGTCTGGAAGTCAACATAGCACAGAGATAATTGCACATCCATGTCTACTACTACTATGACACTCACAACAGCCAAGATAAAAAGCCCATCTAGATTTCCACTGACATATGATCAGAGAAAAAAAATGTGACATATGGGCTCAGTGGAGTTTTATTCAACCATAAAGAAAAAGGAAATAGTGTCATTTGCAAAAACAGAAAAAGTTGGAATTGGAAATTATCATGTTAATAAACTTAATCCCAGTGAGACAAATATTGCATGTTTTCTATCATATGTGAAATAAAACCTTAAGTATTCATGCAAGTGTGTGTGTGTGTGTGTGTGTGTGTGTGTGTGTGTGTGTGTGTGTAAAATGCACTTGGAAATGAAAATGGAGAGAAATGTAAGGGCCTAAAGAGGAATAGAGAGAGAATAAAGGTGGCAAAATGTAGTGTATCATGTTTTCTGTCATATGAAATTTGGAAAAATAATGTGTTATGAGGGAGAGGGGAGAGATGAAAACATAAGGGAACCACTTGGGATAGGAGGCAGGAAAATGTAAAGGGAAGGGGAAAGTGGAGAGAGAGGGAGGGTATGAGAAAAACATAATTCTTTATATAATTAATATATTAGTCTAATTAAATCCATCTATTCCTTATGAGTCAACAATCCTGTTCTGAGGCTTGCAATGCCAGAGGGACTCGCATCCCCTGTGGTATTTACTGTGCCAGTGTTTATGGGTATTGAAGATGATGGAGATGTTTATCGCAGTTAGTAAGATGTGGCAAGTGAAAAGAGCTGAAAATACCACAACAGTCAGCAGGTTTTAAGTGTAATGGCGGGTATAAAACTAAAAACTATGCCTTATAAAACAGGATGCCATTTGTATAAGATGTAAATCTAAAAGTTTATCTATCTAGATAACAGCAGAAAACATTTTATAAGAATAAATGCAAGCCGGGCGCTGGTGGCGCACGCCTTTAATCCGAGCACTCGGGAGGCAGAGGCAGGCGGATCTCTGTGAGTTTGAGGCCAGCCTGGTCTAGAAGAGCTAGTTCCAGGACAGGAACCAAAAAGCTACGAAGAAACCCTGTCTCGAAAATCAAAAAATAAATAAATAAGAACAAATGCAAGTGAAATCATCTCATCATTTGATGTATGTTGGGCATGGTTGTACAGAATTAAGATTTTCTAAATGTTTTGTATTTCACACATTTTATGGTCATTTCTCTTATTTTATTATTTTTTGTAAAGTATTTGCTGGCACAAATACTGAGGGGTGTCTGTTTCTCCAAGGCTATTAATTTTTCTCTTTGTTGTTTGAATTGAATGCATGTATTATTCTTGTTTTTTTTTTAATTTGCCGATTGCTTGTGTTGCTATTTCATATCTGTTATGGAGCCCCTTTAAACAATTTTTAATTTATGATTATTGCCCATTAACTCTGATGTTTCCATTTTGTTCTTTCTTATATATTTTCTCTTCCATTCAGCTAAGTACATTTTCTGTTGCTGTAAGTGAGTACTATAGTGTAGGTAAATTTATAAAGAGGAAAGAAGGCTTATTTAGCTTATCTCTGTAGAAGCCCAAAAGCATAACATTAACATCTGGTGATGGCCTTCCTGCTGGGCCAGAAGACAGAGCAAGGGAGAGTAAGGTTGCTAATACAAGCCTATTTTCTTCTCTTTACCAAGCCCCTAATGCTATGAGGGCCCATAGCAGGGTTTACCTAATCACCTCTCCAGTGTTCTACCTGCAAAGACATTACACATGACTTTAGGAAGTTAATTTTGTTATAGGGTGTGTAAGGAACAAGCACAAAGACCACATTATTATGTGTTCTATGAACCATAGCAGTAATATCTTCCTTTACTTCTGTGAGTATGGCTTCCTTCAGTTCCTTAAGCACACTGGTTGCCTGCTCAGAGGTCTTTGTCTGGTAACTGATAGCTGCACCTTCTCAGGTCTCAGCCTCTCTCTGCTACCTATGTCTACTCATGGCTCTGTGTGGGTAGCACATAGTAGTTCCTCTAGTGCAGTTGTTCTCAACCCATGGGTTGCAACCCCTTTGGGGTCACATTTCATAATTTCATAATTTGGGGTTACGATTCATAACAGCAGCAGACTTACAGTTATGAAATAGCAATGAAATAACTTTATGGTTGGGAGGGTCACCACAACATGTACTATATTAAAGGGTTGGGAACCCCTGCTTTACTGTGTCATCCTCTGTTAAAGAATGAGCATTATAGCTAATATAGTACTTATGGTTATGATTTAACTTTCTGCTCTCTGAAGCTTATTTCTGTTGATTTTTTTGCTTATTTGTTTTTAGTGGTTACTAATCCATGTTAGTGAGCTCTGTTTTCTCCCATAATGTGAAGATTTTGATATGTTTACTGGAAAAGCCAAGTCTTGGCTTTGTATAGGTCTCTGTGAGGATAACAGTTTAAGCAATGACTTTATTTTGCTACCCCTTACCTCCTAATCTCCATGTCCAACTGTCTCCTCCATTGGGTGTGACCTATTAGTCTGCAAAAATAACAGATGGGCTTATCTAATTAAAAAAAAACAGGGAAATAATTGTTCAACAGTCTGGACCAAATAACGTTTATTTGGCTGGGATAGGTTTCAGGGCTGAAGGTTGAAGTTGGTTGTGTGTAACCACTAAAACCACCCTATGCTTTAAGAATAGATTAGTATATTTTAACATAAAAATATGTTGGACTGAAGAGATAGTTCAGTGTGAGAACCCACAGATGTGAAGCTGTTCCACCTGGACTGGAGAGCAGAGAGTCCGAGCTTATTTTTACCCTTTCAAAGTTGTTGACAACAGATGCGGCTACAAACAAGAGATTCTGACCTAGGGTGTGGTTAATTGGTATTTGGGGCATAGAAGTAGATCTGCTCCACCTGGACCAAAGATGAGATAATTCAAGTCTATTCCTTATATCATGTTAATAAAGTCTGCCGCATTCACCCTCCCCTTTGGAGTGAAGTATATAAGCATGTGGAAAATAAAGGATTCAGGATTCAGTATTCACTGAATGTCCCTCCTGATGCTTTTCTCAGTTTCTGTCTCTTATTTCTCTTATATCTATGTTCCTTCTGCTTAATAATTCTAATCATCACACTCCTACTATGGAACGTACGAATTTCATTGAGACTGATCTTCAACACATGGTGCCCAATGTGGGGTCTTCAGCAATTCAGAAGTCAAGATGACATGTTATACCATTTCCAGCATCCACGTGACTCAAAACCACTTATAGCTCCAACTTTATAGAATCTAATGACTGTGGCCTCCTTGGGTACCCACACTCATAGGCACATGGACATGAGTGCAACACAGACAGAGAGAAAGACAGTTTAAATCAACTACTTTCACAAAATTATTGTGTTGCATTGTCATATACACATTGTGTATAATGTATTTTGGTCATATTCATATTTCCAGCATTGCCTTCCCTTGTTTGTTGGCCTCTTGTACTATGTCCTTCCTCTGCCCAATAAGTCCATCATGCCCTACTTTCATTTCTCTCTCTCTCCTCTCTCATGCCTGTCTGCCTGTCTGTCTCAATATATTTAATCAGGATGACTCACAGGAACATGGAGCAGAGGTTGTTTACACGGGTATGGACATGAGTGGCTACTTATCCACTGATCTCTTTAATTTTTTATAAATAAGTAAAGGAAATATCTTTACTTGTTTAGCAACATTGACTCAGTAAA